AGAAGAATAAAAATAGTAGAAGAAGCGGATGTGAGCGGGAGGGGGAGAGGATAAAATTGGATTCACCGGAGAAGAAATGCCAGTGACTCGGCAAACCCTAGTCGCTGGAACCGATTGCGTCGCAAGAATCGAAGTCCAGTTGAAAACTTGATTTCGTCGGAATCTGTTCGCCGTCACATGAACCAATTTTGGGTTGTCTTGGACCCTTGGTGGTCACCGGAATCGAGCTTTGGCCTCTGGGTAGGAGTGGATCGAAGGGAAAATTATTCGTGTACACCCTGGGTTACACTGTGGGCTACACCCTAATTATTTGCCATTCACACGGATAAAAAACGCACAAATACAGACACTTTTGGTAAAACTATCAGTGTGAAGAAAATTAGTTTTCAGATTTGCCAGGCTGGTTGCACGGAAACCAATGTCAGTGTACACAGACACTTGTTGTCGATGTACACAGAAACTAGTTGTCAGTGTAGACAAAAAAGTGCCGGAGTGAACAAATTTGGTTTGCAAGTCTGTCGGGGGTTGGAAAACTAGTGTCGGTGTACACAGACATTAGTTGTCTGTGTAGAAAAAGTGTCTGTACATGTATAATTTTCGTCTGTGTGCACATACTCTTAAAGCAAACCAATGTCAGTGTGCATAAAACGAAAATTGTACATGTACAAACACTTTTTCTACACAGACAACTAATGTCGGTTTACACTGACACCGGTTTTCCAACCCTCTGGTAGACTAGCAAACCAAATTTGTTCACACTAATCACACCGGCACTTTTTTGTCTACACCAACAACTAGTGTCTGTGTACATTGACATTGATTTCCGTGCAACCAGCCTGGCAGATCTGAAAACTAATTTTCTTCACACCGACAGTTTTACCGTAAATGTCGGTTTTTGTGTGTTTTTGTCTGTGTGAATGACAAATAATTAGAGTGTAACCCATGGTGTACACCAAGAATTATTCGGATCGAAGACCTGCACACTTGAAACGACCTAGAGTAAACTATAGGGGTAGTTTAGATATATTACACCTACGTAAGTCACATATTTGTACAAAAGAGAAACTTGTCTCATCTTTGTCAATAGGAAAGCTATAGCTATTATTCTTGTCATTCTTTCAATTATTATTGCAATGGAAAAATATAACATGGTAAGATTGATATGCTCATATTACCTCAGCCTCCCTAATATTGGGTTCGAAGGGAATGATGTAGTTTTTAAGAAAAGTATAATTATGTGGTTGATAATGAGTTGATAAAGTGACAATAATGTAAGAATGAATTAGAGCCACACAAATGTTATCAAATACTCCGTATATTATGGGACAATAATAGGGAGACATTCAAAAATGGAAAAATAGGGCAATTATAGGGAGACAGAGGAACTGTCAAATAGAATAATAAATAATTAAATATGAAGCAGTAAAAGCATTGCGTATTTTTGTAAACCTTCTTGTCTATAATTTGTAAAATTGATTGAGTTTTCAATTGTCATCATGTATTGATATTTAATCTTTAATTTTTATAGCCTGTTCGGTTACTTTATTTTTTTTAACTTAGCAGACTTATCAACCAAATTTTTCACTAAACACATGCATATAACTTTTGATTTCGTGCATTGAATTGTGTAATAATAAAAAAATGTAAGGTTGTAGTTACTTTTTTGGCTATATTGGCTTAAGTTAATGTAGAATATCATTTTAGCCATTTTTCATATAATTTTTCTTTATTATATTAATAAAAATATTTTAAATTTTTTCTTCATAAATCGGTCAATCCAGCTATTTAAGTCAAAACTTCATGAATTTCATCAGAATCAACCGATTCTGTGTTACCAAACAGACTCTGGATCCTTCAACAACAAAAAATAGACTCTGGATCTTTATAAATTAAAAAAAATAAAAACATGAATGAGGGTAACGTTATTTTGGGTATAAAAAATTTGTTTATGTAATGAAAAATGCTTGGTGTACACAAAATGGAGTACGTATATGGTACAACCGGCTATACGGTGAGCACCGTACAACCGGCCCAGTAACAGGCCCAAGTGAAAAACAGCAAAATAATTCGGTGGCATTTTTGTAAGTAATGTGAAAATCGTGGTTTCTGATAAATGAGCATTAGTTTACTGTTAATGAGCAATAGTCTAATTTTAATGAGTATTAAGCGTCTAATAATGAGCATCGTGTTATTACAAGATAGCTGATATCACAACCAAAAAACGGTGGCATTTTCGTAATTTCAGTGAAAATCGCGGTTTTCGTTATATGAGTATTATTACGCTTTTAATGAGTATCAGACGTATTATGCTGAATATTAGGAGCCTAATAATAAGCATCGTGATTTCTGGTTCATATCTTCTAATTCACTTTCTTTTTCTTATTTTTTTTAATAAAAACTTATTAAATTATATCCATAATCAACTCCTATGAACTTCAATATGTGAATCTAATGTAATATGGTAGTTTTGAAATATGGATTGATATGACATTTTAAAAATGAGCGTAACATGAGTACCGATTGAGCATATATAACTTATAAAATGAGCATTGATATGAAACTTAAAGTTTTTGTTGAGTATCACGACAATTTTGTTGAGCATCACACTTTCTATATTGAGTATTAGAAACATGCAATTGAATATCATGGTCCATGATACAATATCTATAACCAACTCCTACATAAATCTAATGTAATATGATACTTTTGAAATATGCATTGACATAACATTTTAAAATGAGCATAACATCATTACCAAATGAGCATACATAATTTACCAAATGACAATGGTATAAAAATCATAAGCTTTGTTAGTTGAACATCAAACATTCTATATTGATTATCATAAGCATTCAGTTGAGTATATAATATAACTCTTATGTGAATCTATATGATAGTTTTGAAATATGCATTAAAATGACATTTCAAAATGAGCATAACTCAGTACTAGTTGAACATAAGTAACTTACAAAATGAGTATCGAAAAATTTGAAGGATCGTTTGAATTCCTTAACATGTAGATCTATTAGATTCATTACTAACAATTTAATAAACTATCATTATAAAAAAAACTATCATTATAAAAATGAGATATATAAAAATGTTTAAACAAATTAATTTATAGTCTTTTTTTCTTGAATTACAAATATAATTATTTACACATGCACATTTATTTTATACCATACTCATTTTAGTATAACACAAATCTCATATTAGCAATAACACAAAATATTTAATAAACTTAAAATATTCATCTTAAAATTAAAAATATAATAACAAAACATTAATACCTAAAATAATTTATAATGCACAAATTCAAAAATAAAAACTTAAGTTAGAAAAGTGATTGGAAAATGAATAGAAAAAACTCAAACATTAAATAATATTTTATTCAATACAATTTAGTGATAATTGAATGAAAATAAAATTACAATTAAATATTGTTAAAGAAAAACCAATACGTAAAGAAAATAGAAGGAAAAAGACAAAAGAAAGAAACATGAAACAAAGAAGCGGGCACGAAAAACAACAAAAGAAATAAAAGAAAGACAGATAGAAGAAAGAAGTAAAATCAACGAGCAAGAAAGCCGTAAGCATGCCGACGGAGAAGAAAAACAACGGGCAGCACAGCAGGGACTAACTTAACTATTGCCATTTGAATTAAAACTATTTACAAAAATGACGGTTGTACCATGGGCAGGATACCGTATAATTTGTCCGCAAAATGTGTACACTTTTTTGTACACTTCTTTATTTAAGTGTAAACTATTTAAGTGTCATTATAATTCTCTCTGGTTCATTCGTCAACTAACGTCTCGCTACCACCTCCAATTATTTCTAAATCGAATGGAGGTTACAGCGTCTCTCTTGATCTTCATGTTCCCGAGCATTTCCATTGCATAGGTTAGCCGCTCAAATTATTTTGGGTCTTTCTCCACAACTATTTCTCCTCTTCCTCGGAATTCTACATTAATGTATTATAGCATACTGTTCAACGTATTCTACCATTGTCTTGATTGTCAATATTCTGAATGTGTAAGACTTGGGATCCAGCACTTTCCTTTTCATTCAGAAAAAACATCTTCTCATTTCCATTAATGGCATATTTGATTTGTTCACATTTCTTCCCCTTTCCAAATAAATCTTGAGAAAACAATTTCATTTTCTTAATAGTGTAACAAATGCTAAGGGGAGTGCTATTTACTATTTAGGGGCAAAGGGAGTATAAAATAAGTCCCTGCATCCCAAACTCTACAAATTATGAATGCATTTAAAAAAAAAATAATCTCCCATTGTGCATATCTAATAAAAAAAAATTCATTGTGCATATCTAAATTTCAAAAGTTACCCTAGAAATCTCTAGGGTACAAAAGTTGATAACATTTACCCTAGAGATTGCTAAGTATAAACTTTTGTACTCCGGCTTTTATAATTAATCATTGCATAGCTAACCTTGAAGGTTGTCTATTAAAGTATGAACATGAGTATTTTTTGTTTTCATTGTTATTTTAACTAAATAAATTTTTTTGATTGTATTTTAACTAAATATATTGTTAAGCAAATTTATGCCTAACTATTTTTTATAATATTCTAAAACACAATATTCGTGTGTGCGTGTCTATAACACACACAATTCTCTCGCATATATTGTGGGAATGTTTTCGCATTAACATGGGGAATCTCCATTTTTTGTTCTCAATTTTTATTTTGGCTAAATGCTTTTCTCACTGGCTAAACATTGTGTTTTTATATATATTTTGGCATAATACGTTTCAATAATTATTTAATTGACTTTTTAATTGAATTTTAAATTAAAATTTGGTGGATGTAAATCACATTTCATGAAAAACATGCTCACAAAAAATTTATCAAAAATTTGAAACGTTCTAACAGGAATGCTACCCTTGTAGAGTAGCAAGTTTTTAAGATACGTACGGTATTAGTGTATTACGAGTATATACATGCATTACAAAATGATCTTGTTAATTGTAACGGAAATACCATAAACTACTTTCTACAGTATTAATTCTACTTAAATATTTTCATGTAACTACCTCTCTTCTTCGCAATTTGAGGCAAAGAACAAATAGAAACAAAGTCAGAGCATGCTTTCTGCCTTTCAGTAGCTGACACAAAGAAAGTATGATGAACGAAGATATCGGCGTCCAGGCCCGAGTTGTGGCGATCCGTGAGGTGGCCAAGCTCCTGCCGCTGCCGGAGTTCTTGCCGTTGATACCTTCGACCAAAGCTGATTACGTTTCTCGCCAGCAGGTTCTTGAATTGAATTTCAATTCTATAGTCCAAAGTCTTATACAGTGTTTTATTGTTTTATAGGTTTCCTATGTAGAGCAAATACTTTAACATCGACTCTAGCAGGAGAGCCATAGATTTACTCTAATGTGTAAAAGAAATTAGCTATAATGCATATACACAATATTTATTGTAATTTTGTGAGACAAGATTTGATTTTGGTCATTTAAGCCGACTAAAAATGATTGAAGCTATACTAAAAGAGTTTATTAGTTATGTGTGTGCGCGAAGTATAATGCTCAAAGAAGATAGCAGGTGAATAAGATATTAATCATATAGTTAAGGAAATGAAACTTGTATGTATAATTTTCTATCATATGAATAATGGGTACTATATTTAAAGCCTCTACCGTGTGTAATTGTGTATGGTTGAGTGCAAATAAAATTCTGAATTGAACTTGAAATGCTTAGATTTGTATAGACTCTCGTTTGAGTGTGTGCATTGTTCTTGAAGATTGGGAACACAATCTCAAATGTTATAAACTTTAAAATCTTAGATAGTATTGATTTTACGTAGGTCATAACTTTGACACGAAACGAGTTACAGAGCCCATAATACTTCAAGTTGAAAGTATTTCAACGTTCTACATACTCAAAAGAATTTGAGGGGACAGCTGCCCACCCTGACCCGGGCTCTGCCCTCGCACGCATCCAAAGATTCATATTTCAATATTTTTTGATAGTTTATAAATGAAGGCTTTTTGGGGATCCTGGCCACTTCCTGCCTTTTCCATTTGTTACGGGAAAATGAAAAACAACAACTTATAAAAGGGAAGAAATTTAAGGTCCCTTAGGAAAGTAGAAAATGTGTGGAAAGAAACTATGGAGAAAAATATAGGAGAAATTTGGGATGAAGGAAAGAAAATAACTAGAAAAATAAAAAGTTGTTGTAACATCAATAAATCAAGGAATTCATTTCAAATATTTGTTCCAATTCTCTTTATTTATTTACTTATGCCATAAGTATTTATAGCATTCTAAACATATACTACTTACGTAGTACTCAATATATAATTTTCATTCACATTTCTTTCTTTTTTCTTAGTATTTTATGGGATCAAAACATAGCCTTTTTGTTGGCCACCAATTACTTAATTGCATTAATTTATGTACTAACTATATCAGTTTTACAATTACAAGTAGTTGCAAGAAAAGGAAACATGTATCAGTTAATTAGTACAAATATGTCATTTATCTGCTTTACTTGTTTGACTTTTTTGAGTATCTCATGCTTTCAACACACATTAGCAGTCCAATATGCCGAGTTTCCTTGACATTTTCATTAAAACATTTAAATAAAAATGATGTTTTCACATTAGCTTAAGGCTTTAGTTGTAATTTCGTTCGATTTTTAGCATTTCTACTTGCATAATCAATTTCTTAAACAGCCAGTCAATTTTTAACTGAGAAGAATAAATAACAAAAAAATGGAGTAAATGAATTTGTGTGCCACATACCGCATCGGCCAGTGATGTGACTAATAACATGCTATCACATAACTAAATTCTTTTCTCTGGTTTTTTACTTCCATACTACTCCCTCCAGCCATTAAGTCATTTTCTTGAACCACATGTTGACATATACTGTATTTAATCAGGTGAATGATGCACATCTCAGTACAATGGTAGCTAAACAGGTATAAGTGCATCAGCTCATTTCTTTGAATGAAGATGCTTAGGTTTTTTGTTCATCCTCTGCAAACTATTTGGTTTGTTTAATATCCTTCAAGAGAAATAACTACTAATTAGGTCATGCACATATTTTTAATGCTTGCACAACTTCTTCTTTGCAGATTGAACAAGCACAGGCTGGTCTTGAATCACTTTCCTTATCCCAGAAGATCATTGGCCAATTAAGAGAGAACTATGTTTCTGTTGAAAAGTAGAAATTCACATTTGTGTATCCTGTTTTAATAGAAGAAGCAGTATTTCTATTTGCCTGTTTGGAAGAGTCATTGCAGGTTTTTAGATAATGTATCTCACTCATTGCATGTCAGCTCTGATTTCAAATTGCAGATTATGCCAAGAATGCCAAACGTTAATCGAAAATCATTATCAAATTAGGCTTCTCAGTAACACAAGGAATAACCTGAAAGCCACCTTGAAGGCGAGTCTTTGTTTTCATTTTGTGATTCATAAGCTTAAGTTTTTTTTTGTTATTCATATGCTATGCAGTTTTCAATAACGTAAGTTCATAAACATGCTATTGAAAATTGAAGGGATTTATACTCAACTTCACCATAAAATAGACTTACCATCAATCTAAGTATACATAGACACCTTGACCTGACCTTTTCATTAGTAAAGACTGACCAAATCCCCAAAGTGGTTGTGACTTGTGAAACGTCTATATAGAATATGACAGCTTTCCTTTAGCAACCATAGTTACTCTACAATATACATTGGGTAGATATACTTCAACACGCACTGATGCTCCTTCAAGTTGGAATACAATAGGGTCCAAGTTTGCTACAAACGTTTTCAACTTAGATCTCCGTAGTTAATAAAAAAAATGGTCTTGACTTTTTAGTCTTTACATCGTCTTTAAGTTACTTTTTAATGTGAAACTTCAAATTTGGAAAATTACATGAATACGTCATTATAAACTTGAAACTTGGACATAGTCTTGAATAGTTTATTTAATTGAACTTTAAATCTGAAATAATTAGAAGTTGAAATTATGAACTAGACATGACCGGGGGACTGAACTTTAAGTTGACACTTCTTGTATTCAGGTAAAATGCCAATTCATGAAGTTTTCTATGCATTTGCCCCTTGATTGACATTCTTCGAACAATGTGTTGTGTAGGATGCGGAGGGAATGATGTCGATTTCTGTTGATGCTGCTGTAGCACGAGAATCTCTAAATGATCACAAAGAACTCATCAACACCTATGAGGTAAATATTTGTCTCTAAATTATCATTCTCATTGGCATTTATACAAATTTACCCCATTTTTATGGTGAACATATGTCCAATTGTCTTACTTTTATGATGTCAAAATTCTGCTAGAGGTTAATAGCTCTTGATGCAAAGCGGAGGTTTGCTTTAGCTGCTGCTGTGTCTCATAAGGAAGAGGTTTGCAGACTAAGGTTAGATTGTTTGCCTTGGTGTTGGGTAATTTACTGAATCTATAATAGAAACGATTCCTCTTTTAACATCCTAACTTTGAAAACAAAAGTTGTGGAGTTGTAGGAACATGTACTGTTCAATAGTAAAGCCTTTTGATTCAATTTAAGAGAAAAGCATAATCATGAATGATCATAATTTGTTTTCCTTGCATAGTTGTGACCTGGAAGTGGGTCAAGCCAAATTTTCATTTTTTGGGTTGTTATAAACATCATTTGTATTTGGTTTATGACTATGAAACATGGGAACTCTCATGAAATAGTACATTCCCTTTTCGGGAACTCTAGGAAACTCTATAGAAACTCTTCAAATACTTGTTTTTCTATTAAAAGATGACGTTTCTCGTTTTACGTTACTCCATTTATTCCCACCTTTCCGTGCAGCATGGGTTGATAATGAACTAAGATTGATATGAACATTTGGTTAAGTGTCCATGAGTTCCAAACCAATCATCAACCATGGTATAGTTTAATTAAGAAGTCACACACTTTTCAAGATGAAGGGCATATAAGCTGTGTTGGCTTGGGTACGAATACGGTTACGAGCTAGGAAATAATTGTAACTATTTTAGATTTTCTCATTACCATGGAGAGACTTAAGCTCTGAAAGTGTCTGCATCATTCTCAGAACGTATTTTGAAGATGTAGATCGCACATGGAAATGTTTTGAAAAAACACTATGGGGCCATATTTCCAACTTCTTCAAACTTGCTAAAGAGAGGTATACCTGAGCATGTTATTTGCATTTAGCTAGTCCATATTCCAAACAAATAAGTGTTATTTTCGATTTTTCGTTCAAGCATCCTCTCCAACTCTTGGATAAAGAAACCGATTGTGTGGCTGCTGGTCAGTTTTTCATGATATTGCACATATAATGTAGTTTTCAACAGTCAACTTTTTAATTTTTTTTATGTAGTAAGCAAGCTTCTTTACTGTTCATATTACTATCCCTCGTGATGCTTTTAGCATTTTTTTTCTTCTGCAGCCCACAAACTTTGGTCCGTGCTATAAGGTATGTTCAACTTTATGTGTATTCTTACCAGTTACCACCTATCAAAGTGGTTGTGGCATATCCAAGCGGTAGTTATTATTGTTGAAGTATATCTATGTAGTATATATCGTAGACTCGTAGAGTAGCTATGCTTGTTGCAAGGTTTGGTTGGTTCTTTTCCTCTTAATAAGTAAAATTGAGTGTCTGAGCGCCGTGAAAAAAAGTAAAATTGAGTACTATCTCCTTCAATTCTCAATAATTTGTAACGCCGCACACACTGAAATGAAAAACCTGCATATTAGTCCGCATTATATTGCAGGGTTGTTGAGATGCAAGAATATCTAGAACAGCAACTTGCAAAAGAAGCATCAGAGGCTGAGGAGGGTGGAACCCTTGCATCAATAACAAAACCTCAAAAAAATATTAAGTGCGTGAAGTTTGATTTATTTTTATATTGGCTCTTGATGCATTCATTCTTGGTCACTTACCTCGTTAACCACATTTTTAGTTATGTTTGAAGTTTAAACAAATTGCTTTCTCCATGTCAGTTGCGTGCCTTGCACTTTAAAATTGTTTACATGGATCAATGTATGAATGATCATCATTATAAATCCTAATTAACTATTCTGGCCTGCAGGAAATGTGTAAACGCACCAACTTCTCTGAAAAACAATATGCAGCAAAACGGGAGGGTCCACGAGAAAAGTTACAAGGATAAATGCTATGAACATATAAGAAAGGCTGTTGAGGCACATTTTGATCAGCTACTTTGTGAGGAAGACCTTAAAGCTGCCATAGATGAGGCAAAAGCGGTAATTGTCTTTTCAATATCCAATTTGTATTTAGTTTTGATAAACTTAGTCATACATATTATAATATCTCGATTTTTAAGTTCAGGTGGGGGAAGAGCTTGGAGATGTGTATGATTATGTGGCTCCCTGCTTTCCTCCTAGGTTTCTCATCTACACTTTTATTCTGCTTTCCCTTTTTGATAAGAGCTTTTGCATACCTTATATGCTTTAAGCTGTCCTGTTAGTGCCATCTAAACTAACACTTTAAGACTGAGCATCATCAAAGCAATTCGATAACTCGATAGGTAGAGAAGTTAGTTAATATTTTTGGCCTTTTGGGAAAGAGGAAGTAGTATTCTTTGTGTATTAAGCAAATGAGTAATACAAGATACTCCCTCTTTGGGAAAGAGGGACCCCAAAGAGGGAGTAATTTTTTTTCAAAAAAAAAAAACAAGATATAAAAATAATCTCTGGTTTAGGTGCTCCTTGATATGATTTCAGCAATGAACCAAAGGATAAGAGGCAAATTAGGCTCTACTTAGGATTGAGCAATGCACCAAATGTACTCCACATAGCAACCCTAGCAGCCCCTAAAATCCACCCCTTTTATGTTATCTGTTTAACCAAGATCATCAAAGTTAACAAAACTCCAATCCCTAAATTATTTGCTAAGCATATTTCAAGATACATACAAGATATTCAGAACAATAACATACAACTAATCGTCCTAAAATTTGAAAAATCACAAACAAATCCTATAATATTATACAAGTTGGGATTATTTATATATTATCAGTGGCTACGTTTACATCACTGTTTCATGAAATTTTAAGTGCTTACAAGATTCTAGAATGGTTAGATTCATTTCTTTTTGCGAAGTAAAAACCATAATGTTTTTTTATAATTTCAGGTTTAATGCCTTTTTTCATCTTTTTTCTTCCATGTATCAGATATGAAATTTTCCAGTTCATGGTAAATCTTTATTCTGAGAGGTTTATTCAGTGGCTGAGAAAGCTAAGTGACCAAACCAATAATCTGACAAACATAGAGATTTTAAAGGTATGAAATATTTGGTTATGAACTACAGAGCATTTAGGGAAAAAGTGATTTTGTTTGAAAATAGACACTAGGAGTGTGTTTGATGATGCTGAAAAAGTAGGTTATCTCAATAGTCGGCTGTATGATAATGTGAGTCGGTTTTTGTTTGGATAAATTTTGCTTAGAAGTGGTTTTGAAATAATTAATTCATTTGGATGGCAATAAAAGTTACCATAGCTTTTTTAGCCCAGAAAAAAACATCAAAATCACTGGGGTAAGAGCTAGGCTTTTTTACTAAGTAATATTAAAAACAAACAATTACAAAAGAGGGGACATCATCAACCTTACCTCATTAAAATTAGAGAAAAGAACATCAAAGCTAAATGGAAAAGCCAGAAAGACAACTTAAGCTCTAAATAGTTATGTAAATAGCTGAAAGAGTAAACAATCTGTTGCAACATAATATAAGCTACGAATTTCGGAATCAGAAAAAAACATTATTTCAAAAAGGTAACCTTATTATATATTTCAGCGAATGATCCGAAGCACATGAATTTTTTAGAAACAATGTACGATCTAAAAGACAGGTTAAATAGCTTGTGTTCGATTACAAGATGTCCCTAACATGTTCTAGTCTCTAGCAAACCTGATTTGTAAGAAAGGGGGAGCACTTCAATACTCGAGTGATATTTTAGTAAATATTGCCTAGTTTATTATATTATTAATGTAATTACTGATTAGGTAACTGCATGGGCGATGGAGTACCAAGATAGTTTAATTGCACTTGGAGTTGAAGAGTCTTTGGCTCAAGTTTGTTCTGAAAGTGGTTCAATGGATCCCCTCATGAATGCTTATGTTGACAGAATGCTGGTAACAACTAAGGTGAAAACATTTTGTGTGATCTGCTACAAATATCTTTGTGTAACTACTATATTGTGTTTTAAAGTGTACTTCTATTGAGTATTGAATTATTAGTTATTTATATTATTCCAATGTACAGAAGTGGTGCCTGAACATTCTTGAAGCAGATAAACTGCGACCACCAAAAATGACCACCAAGGGAAAACTATATACGCCTGCTGCTGTTGACTTGTTTAGGATCCTTGGAGAACAAGTCCAAGTAGTGAGAGACAATAGAACGGATGTCATGCTATACAGAATTGCTTTGGCAATAATTCAGGCAAGTTAACCCCAGTGAACTTATTTGCAGGAGATATGTAGTCATATCTCCACAAACCTTTGTTTTGGCTGTATGCTTGTATCCTTCTTTAAATAGGCTGGATTGCCTGATTTAAATATCTTTCCCTTTGTACTTGAACTTCTGATCATGTATCCATAAAGTGGTTCAGGCTCTACTTTTTTTGGGGTTGTTTCCAAAAGTGCATCGAATAATTATGTTTTTATGTTGATCATGCTAAGAGAATTGAGACTTTACTGATACTATCTGTTATTAACTGCAAAAAAAACTGAGGTGTATGTATGCATATATATGACCCTCTTGGCAGCTGAGACAAGTACAACCGACCCTTAAGGCACTATTTGTTATGGCATTATTTATTGACAACAAATCATCAATATGATTCTATCTTGAGTAAATTGAAACACTAAGTAAGGATCCTATTTATTCACTTTTTACATGTATTTTCCCAATTAGTTTCTTGGAACAAACTTGTTTTAATTTACATGAATTACTAAACTTGTTTCCAGATTATGATTTACTTTCAAGGTGCTGAGAGAAAGAGATTAGCAGAATCTGTGCCTGAATTTGATCTGGAAGCTTTATGTGCAATGGTTTGTAAAGCTTTACATACATTCTAAATTATTAGATTTACAGATAAAACATGTTGCTATGCCTATTTTTCTAACAGGTGTAGCAGAAAATAATAACCTTTGCTGTTATGATCTCAGTACAGATTTATTTTCACCTATGCATATTTTGCTTACTTTTTCCATCATTTGCAATGGAGCCAAAAACTCACTATTTTATCTTGGAAATATGATGGAATAAAGCAAAATGGCCCACTAAACTGTCTGCGCTTCTTTGTTATGAAGCAACATTCAGTCCATGCAATTTTCGACGTGATTTTCAGTATGGGTAATCCGGAAACCGCCTCTGTGCTTTAGTACAGGGGCAAGGTTGCGTACATCCGACCCCCCATGCCCCACCGTAGGTGGGAGCCTTTGCGGCACTGGGGTGATGATGATGATGATATTTTCTTACACCTTGCTGTAACAGATAAACAATAATCTTCGCTGCTATGATCTCAGCATTGAGCTATGTTGTAGTATCACTGAAGCACTTCCAGATAAATATGCTCAGCAGGTAGTAATAGTTTTCTGACTTTTCTCCCTCTCACAATTGGTGCAAAGTGAAACACCATCAATCTTCATGACCTTCCATTTGAATTTATTCTCTACGTAGTTCTCTAAACTTGATCACATGTACTTAGCTTCTTGTATAAATTGCATTTCATATGGGTGGTTTACAATGGAACTAAACAGAGGGAGTGAGGGAGTCTGACGGTCTGTGATACTTTTGACCTCCCAACTCTTATGTCAAAGAGTGTGATATCTCGACTTTTAGTCCTTCTGTATTACTTGTCACATTTAGTCACTTTTTCCATGCAAATGCACCAGAAGAATTAATATCTCGGATCCATTGTGAACGTGAATATTTTCATTGTTGTGTTATTCGAAGTAAAACCTTAGAACTGTTAGACCAGATGTTAGACAAAAAAAACTATTTTTGTTGTTGAAGAAGATAGCATTAGTTTTACCACATTCAGCCCCTTCGTTCACTTTTCTGTTTCACTGGAGATTAAATGTGCCCCTAGCTTTGGTATGTTTTATTAGGGAATTTTCTGCATTGTCGTCTCAATTCCTAACTTACATGGGCACTGATAGGAATCTGGGGCCTATTCTGGCCAGATCTGTGTGATGGTTTACTGCTTTTGTTTGGATTATTGCCAGTGTTCTATCAGGCACATACAACTCATGCATACAGAACCTTTCGGGTTTGTTCAATTGGTTTGAACCTAGGAACAAAAAGTTCTCACTTATGTGATTATGTCAATAGTTCGAATCCCCCGGGGGGCACTAGAGATTTAGCTGGTCATTAACTTCAAGGTCTGCGGGATTATCCACACCAAAGGGTGGGCACCCATGTTACAAAAAAACATACATTTAATATGTTTGTATGTTACTAATATTTTTTAGCAGGTTCATTTTGAGCACTCGTGCAAAGGTTTTCTGGAAGTTTCAAAGGTATGTGGAGCTCCCTCTTTGTTTTTTTATTAAGAAATACTTACCTCCATTCTTAAATAGTTGTAACATTAGAAATTTTACACTATTCACGTGCTCTACTCACGCCTACATTTGACTATATTTTATTCACGAATACATTATAAATTTATTTATTTTTAAACATAATTAAATTCTTCTCACTGTATTGGTCAAAGTTGTGCGTTAGCAAACGTGAAAATGGAAGTGTTGCAACTAAAAACGAACAGAGGGAGTACTAGTTTTCTCCCAAAATGTGAAAAAGAAAAATGATTAAACTCATTTTGAGTTAATTGCAAGTCGGGATCCTGTTAATTTTATGATGTTTTTCTTTGAAAAAGAGTGGGATGGGCTATCTTTTGGCAGAACAAGCAAGTCTAACTTGGTTTTCTAGATGACCTAGTGTCAAATTTCTAGCCCTGTTGTTATCTTGCATTGCAGATGTTTTTCTATGCATGATTATCATCAATATGATATTTGAACTTATTCTTTCAGCAAAGAAATTAAATGTGTGGTTTATTGGTGTATGGAGTATGGTGTGCCATTGGATGTAAAAATGTTCCCGTGTCATCAGCAGCTTATTTTTTTACGGTTTTATTCATGTGTTTTCAAGAAAAATTTCTAAACTTGCTTTCTTTGATTCCAGAAAGCCATCCATGAAACTACCAAGCTCATTTTTGAAGAACCAACGGTGCAGGAAGTATTAGGAAAACTGTATCAGAGGGGTAAATCATTTTTATTCAAACAGATTATCTTTGATACCATAAAATTCATACAAAAAAAGTTTCAGCAGTTAGCCTTTAGATTCAGCACCCTGCTGAATCTTGATTAGGGATGTCAACGGGGCAGCCTGCAGGGGTTAGATCATATCTCTGTCATGTTCCGCGTTCCTCAATCTGTCTTCACTGGGATTCCCTATCCCTAATTTAATACTCCCTCCGTCCCCTTAAGTTTGTCCCGTTTTACCTTTTTCGTCCGTCCCACTAAGTTTGTCCCATACCATATTTGGTAACATTTGAGTGGTTAGAATTCATTCTTACTTTATTTACACTTTATCAATTCAATATCAACCACACAATTCCACTTTTTCTTAAAAACCACACCACACCCCTCCGTCCCAAACTTAGGGGGACGGAGGGAGTAGAACGGAATTATATTTTAAACAAAAGATATACATAAACTTCCATAATGTTTGGCTCAAATAGTTGCAGAGGCCGAATGAGGGAAAGTCTACATGTAGAGGATTGATCTTATATTGCTTGTCTCCCTCTTTCTCTATATATTGTCTTTGACTCCGATATCATATGCCGATTCATGTTAGCCGATCCTAAACTCTTAGGAATAAGGCTGGGATGCTTTTGTTGTAGTAGTTGGTCTGAGCTTCAAATGTGGATTTTAGAGATAAATATTTTGCATCATAAATTTGCTCATCGAGAACTGAAATTTGCACCACGATCTGGACATAGTCTTGTAATGAATTCATTTTGGTTTATGATTTCAGATTGGCTGGAAGGACTGGTCACAGAGAGCCTAGTTAAAACATTTGATGATTACTATGATGTTGTGAGAACGTATGTATTTCTCTTAGTTCAGTCACATTTGAAAGCCCGGCTTAATAGATTCCAGATATAAGCACCAGAAACATTTGCATTATAGGTTCAAAAATAGTTTCTAAATACTCAGTTTATGATAAACATATTAAGGTATCTTGAGGAGACATCATTTAGTTGTCTTGTTGAGGCTTTGCTGGAGGAGACAGTGATTTTTTATGTGGAGCATCTACTTATGCAGGTTATTATTGAGAACTTCACCATTGCTTGCATTTTTCATTTACTTTTTTAAAGCACAATTGCTTCAGACTGTCTAATTATTCTGGTTATACTGTATTTATTATGTTGTAGAAAGATTACATCAAGGAAGAAACCATTGAAAGGATGAGGCTAGATGAAGAAATTCTTTTGGATTTCTTCCAAAATGATATAAGTGCTTCTGTAAGCCAGCGTCTATTACAAATTTGACGATTTTTTTGTGGTTGAGATTTTCTCCTAAAAAATCTCATGGGGTTGTTAATAGAGATGGCAATTGTGACCGATCCGATGGATACCCGCACCGAACTGCCCCAGTCAAAATGGGGAATACCCGTTTTGTTTTTACGGGTAACGGGGCGGTTACGGTTTTATGCATGCCCGCCCCATTACCCGCCCCGTACCCGCCCCGTTTATTTTTAGTTATATTTTTATTACATTCTTATCTATTATTTGTCCCACGACTAATAAAAGATGAGATTTTTAATGTTCATTGTGTATATATGGATAATAGATGTACTAACTATAGTGTAAGAATGGAAGTTCTCAGTAGAACTTAATAGTTTTGTTTGATTATTATATGATTTTTCGTGATTAATTATTTTTTAGATTAAGTATTTTTAGGTTCAAATTAATTTAGGTTGTCTTCTTTCTCGTCTTATAGATATATGAAGCTGTAAAGTAGCGTATGAGTCTAGCGTCGTCTAGGTGATGTCATTTTTCGCATTTTAAAATATTATGTTTATTAAAATATCAATGACTCATTTAATAAAGTGATTACCTGCGGTTACCCGCGGTTATACCCGTTACCCGATGGGGCGGTTATGGTTTGGGTAAAAATTACCCGTTGGGTAATGGGGCGGTTATGGGGCGGGGGAATTACCAAACGGGGCGGGTACGGTTATATGTAAAACCGTCCCCGATCCGCCCCGTTGCCATCCCTAGTTGTTAATCATAAAGTGGTAATAGGAAAAGTAATATAGATGATTTTTTGGTTGAAATAACCGAAAGGAAACGGATTGAGGACACTTTTTACCTGTGTACATGTATTATTGTTAGCCCCCATGGTTTTGAACTTAAATTTGGTTATTTACTTTTTGGTTGAAATTATTTATTTACTTTATTTTACTATATTTTAAAATTTGTACTCTGTAAATAATTTGTGTAGTTTTTTCAGCCAATTCAACAATTTCAATGATTTCACATTCATGTCAACCTCAACCAAATATTTTCATTAACCAAACGAAGTCTAACTATGAATGTTTTTATAATGCTGCAGAAAGTTGAAAGCATATTAAAGATACTCGGCGATTTAAGAGAACTCGCTTCTTCAGAGAGCCCAGATTCCTTCATACTTGCATATACTAATACTCTGGAGCATCAACCAGACTGTCCTGTATGTGTTCTAAGCAACCAATCATGCATGCATAAGAGTAATTCCAACTGCATATGAATTCATCATCTTTCTTTCTTTGGGGGTTACTTTGAAATGAGCACAGACTTATATGAATTAAACTTTTGGAATTAAACCCACCCAAGTGTTAATACAATTACATGTATATGAATTTGTCATCTTTTTTTGGGTTCATCTTTCTCTCTTTCTCTCTTCATATGAAACTGTAATTATTTGAAATATGCAGCCTGAGGTTGTTGAGAAGATTGTGGGAATGAGGGAGGGTATACCACGAAAAGATGCCAAAGAGGTAATGTCCATACATACCAGTTTTATAGAACTTGAGAGAAAACGCAACTCAGAATAAATGATCTACTGGATCGTACTCTTCAACGACTTATTTGGTAATAAATAAATACTGGGTACTTCATTATTTATTAATCGCAACATTGTGACTTTTAAACTATTCACACGTCTTGTTTTTAGTTTTGACTACGTTTTTCTTCTGATGCATATAAACAAATCATTTTATATAAAATATTACGGAGTATTAAACTTTTCCTCACATAAACTGTCAAAATATTATTTTTATACTTTTAATCGTACATAATTAAGTATATTAATAGTAAAAGTCGTGTGTTGGTAAACATTAGTGTGTAACTGTTACAATTAAAAAGGAATGAGTAGTATAACACTTCGAAAGATTTGTGGGACTGGTATCTATGGTAGAATCATCAAAAGGTTTGCTCCCATGTAAATATGCAATTCATTGATTGAACATGATGTGGGAAATGGGAATTGCTTGCTTTCACAAACAGGTGGTTCACAAGTGCAAAAAAGTGTACGAAAGTTATCTGGTGAATGGAAGTCCTCCTAATAGGGGCTTTGTTTTCCCCAAGGTGAAGTACTTGTCGGATGATTCTGGGGTCTCCAGCTTTTGGAAAAAGCTAGCATAAGCAGATCGAAAAAGTGGGATATTAGGACAGTATTTAAGAATACAAAGCCTGACACATGGCTGATAGTTTCAATGTAAAGCAGTAAAGTAGTAGAGCTAACCCATATTTTCATCTTTATCAGGTAATTTTGTACTCCGTAGTCCGTATCAAACACAATTTTTTTTTTATTTTTCATGCTGAATTGATGTAATAATCAAAATAAAAAAGAGTGAAGCTACTTTTCTGACTAAATAGATGCCATGGTAGAGTATCATTTTACTTGATTTCATATAATTTTGTTTTTATTTTATTAATAACATACTCCATATGTTTTAAAAATAGATTTGCCATAATTTAGTCGCTTCGGAGTTCGGACAATTTAACTGATTCAGTCAATTTTTTTCACTTTCAATATTACCAAACGAGTATTTTATGTATCGTTGCCAATATTCTTGCACGAAATTAGTTCTATATAGTCATGGACCCGGGCCGGGGCCGGCCGGGCTTTTTTTTGGGAAGGAAGGCCCAGGACCGGCCCGGGTAGCCACCGGGTCCGGTCCGGGCCTGGCCAGGCCAGGCCTCCGGTTTCGATAATTTTTTTTTTGCTTTCCTAACCCCCCCCCCCCCCAAAACCCCCAAACCCCTCCTAACCATCAAGCCCAACCCGGGTGGAACCCCAAAAAATGAAAAAAAAATCAATTAGGCCTGGACCCGGGCCCGACCCGGCTGGGCCGGTTCGCCAAATACAAGGCCCGAGCCCGGACCTGCCCCCCACCGGGCCTAGGCCCGACCCGGACCCGAGAACCGGGCCGGTTCTGGGCCTGCACAGTAGCGGGCTGGGCCGGTCCCGGGCCGGGCGGCCCGAACCGGGTCCATGACTAGTTCTATATAACTATTGTTTCCAGAGTTATCGTCATTAGGACTAGTGCTGGACTCGGGCCGGTTCGGGGCCGGTTCGGGCCCGGTTCGGGCCTGGGCCCGGCCGGGCCTCAGGCCAGGAAAGGGAGGCCCGAGCCCGAACCGCCGGTGGCCGGTTCCGGTCCCGGTTCCGGGCCAAACCGGGCCGGGCCGAACCGGCCCAATTAATTTTTTTTTTGTTCTCCTATTTAATCCCCTACCCCTTCCCCTCAACCCCAAACCATCCCAAACCACCTCAAATGGCCCAAAATACCTAATCCAACCTAAAACTTAAAAAAATTTCAAAAAAAAAAAAAATTAAAATCCGGCCCGGACCGGGCCCGAACCGGCCGGGCCGGTTCACCAAAACCTGGGCCCGGGCCCGAACCGCCCAGCAGCCGGGCCGGGCCGAACCTTGGCATGTCAAAATAATGTTTTTTGAGCCTAGTATATGGATCATCTCCACGGGCCTCACAGACTTTATCAACTGTTTTACTAGAAGGGCCTCACAGACTTTACTAACTGTTTTACTAGAAGAATAACTATTTGTAAATATAAAAATAGGATAATTGCAGGAACAAATAATTAATACGATTAATGGTAGTCTAATTTCTCAATGGAGAAAAAAAAAGTGAAGCATGTAGACGGTAGACCTCATAAATTAAGCCTGTTTGCTACATTTTTTTTGTTATAAATTATAATTTTTACAACACTTTCCCTTTTATTAATTTTTTTATTTAAAAATAATCGATAGGCCTCACCTTTTTTTAGCATCTTCTCTTTCATTTCTTTTTCTTTTGACTCTGATATTTTGACTCTGATATTATGTAGCAGTTCATGTTAGCCGACTCAAAATCTTTTATGACTAAAGCATAAATGTTGTTGTATAATCTCCTCTTTCATATTTTTTATATTCTCTTACTTTTTCTAAACTATTGGCCACTGCTAGCATTTTTTTTACCCTTAAAATTTGTGATAATCCTAACAAATTTAGGAATTCGGAGGAAGTATGATTTGTGCATATTTAAAAACTAGCTATTTTTACGCGCAATGCCCGAAAGCTAATGCCCAATAATCAATAATTTTCATCAATGATTCATACAAACATGTGATATTAATCAATATATTTTCATATTTATTAATTTTTTCTGTAAATGATATAGAATATATTCTATTATTTGTACTTAAATTATTTGAAAGATTCTAAAATTGACTCCAAATTTATGAACTAATAATGATAGTAATGTACTAGTACTATTTTTTATTGTTATTTGAACTTAACGTAATACAAATGTGCTTATTTGTAGTGTATTTGAAGTTAATGCACTAGTAAAGGTACTAATATAGGTTGTAACGTAGTGTTATGTTATTTGAACGTAAGTTAGCTAGTCAAGTTAATTTCTAACGGTGTAATGGCATTTTAGTCTATTAGAAAAATTTAGTACTATATTTTAGAATGAATGTACAAACCTTTATGCATAAAAAGATTGACACAAATTAGGGATACTAACCCATATTCACAATTATAATATTTAAAAAAGACACGGCCAGCATTGATTACAGATTATTAGGTAGTTTATTTAAGCAAGTAATGCTTTTTAGAGATTCATTATATTATATATTGTATTCTTAATTAACTACTATCATTATGCACAACCAATAAGATATTTATAATCTTTGATAATGGGATGGGCAAATCGGTTTACGGTTCATTTTTTATCGGGTTCGGTTCGGTTTCAAGTTGTTCGGTTTGGTTTCAAGTTGTTCGGTTTGGCGAAAAATGTATTTCGGTTTGGTTTTGGTTCGGTTCGAGAAATTTTCGGTTCGGTTCGGTTTATAAAGTAAAAAAAAATAATGTATAATTTCATATTTTTAAGTCAAAATTTACTAATTTGAAATGGTTTATTTTAGTTTAAATCCAAACCAAATAAACTAAAACAAAGCAATAAAATCAAAATAGAGTTTTTTGGTGTTGTGTGCTAAATAACAATGGTGTACAAGCAAGAGCAACATGCCAACATAAATAAAATATAAGTAGTGATTTACACGTCTGCAATGAGCAAAACAGCAATGATTTAAATGGTCAATAGAAGTGGGTGAGGGATTAGGAGTTTGAGCAGTTATGTTTCACTCCAAATCACCAAGTCACTAAATCTACAACCTCCCTAATGTATACATATAATGGACAAACACATTGTCGTATTTCACTGGTACAACCAAACTTACAATCTCCATAATGCACACATATAAGAGGCAACATTCGGTTTGAGCAAATGTTTACCAAACAGTTTACTTAAGTAAACCCCAACCAAACCAAATTAAACCACCAATTTTAATAATATATGAAAGTTTTTTTGAGTTTCTTTAGTTCGGTTTGGTTTCTTTAGTTCGGTTCGGTTTTGAGTTTTATCGGTTTCGGTTCGGTTCGGTTCGGTTTAATACGGTTTGAAAGAAATAGTACCAAACTCAAACCAAATTGCATTCGGTTCGGTTTAGTTCGGTTTGGTACGGATCGGTTCGGTTAAACCAAACCGTTATGTCCACCCCTATTTGATATACATAAAGACAAATGATTGGAATTTAAGTAGAGCGGTTAATTCAAAATTTAGACGCTATCAATTACTTCTATCATTTATTAATGAATTTGATACTTTCTTAAATAGTGCGTGTCTATAGTTTTTTATGGATTTCTTATATACTACAACACTCAATAGTTTGGTCACTTATCCTGTAATTCTATGTAAGTATGTAGAGTTGAATAGGATCTCGAGATCAATTGGTTTTTGGAATCAGACTGTAACCTTTACTTCAAATTTCGGGTTGCAATTGGCACCAGAGTGACTGGAAATTTTCAGATCAATTGGGCTGGTCCTGCTTAGGGATGGACCGGGCCCGGTTTGCTTCCTGTTCAGGGTCGGGCCCGGGCGGGCTTGGAATTTTTTGGGCAAGGCCCAGGACTGGACCAGGAGTCTACCGGTATCGGGCTGGGCCGGTCCTTTTTTTTTTTTTAGCTTTTCTTATTTATTCCAACCCCCACCCCCCAAATCCCACCAAAACACCCAGCCCACCTACCATAGGCCCAAACCCAAAAAAACCAAAAAAAATAATAAAAAGTCCGGACCAGACCGGCCGGGCCGGTCCCTATTTCCCAGTCCCGGACCTGCCCCCTTAAATCCCGCCGGGCCGGTCCTAGTCCCGGAATCGATCCTGGCCAACCGGGTCGGTCCGGTCCCGCACAGTGGCGATCCGGTCCGGTTCCCGGGCCACCCCTAGTCCTGCTATTTTTTTTGTTTTTGTTTTTGTTATGTCTTTTGTGTCTAGGGGTGGACTCGGGCCGGGCGGCCCGGCCAGGGACCGGTCCGGGTAGGCCCGCCCCGAACCCCAGCCCGGCCAGGGACCGGTCCGGGTAGGCCCGACCCGCTGGGGTTCTGGGCCGGGCTCGGGCCCCTTAAAAGGTGAGCCGGCCCGGCCGGTTCGGGCCCGGTCCGGGCCAATTTCTTTTTTGTTTCTTTTTTTTTTTGAATTTTTTTTAAGTTTTTGGGTTGGGATGGGTATTTTGGGCCATTTGAGGTGGTTTGGGGGTGAGGGGGGGGGGGGGGGGGGGTTGGGGGTTAATTAGGAAAAGCAAAAAAAAAAAAAAAAAATTGAACCGAGGCCCGGTCCGGCCCGGCCCGGCCCGGCCCGGATCCATGGGTTACCCGGGCCGGTTCCGGGCCTCCCCTTTCATGAACCAAGGCCCGGTCGGGCCCAGGCCCGAACCGGACCGAGTCCGCCCCTGTGTGTGTCTATTGGCTAAGACAATATAGTTGTTGAAGAGAACATCGGAGCCCCCTCCAACGACTCTGAGAATCGTTGAAGAGGCAAGGGTGAAAGTGTTTAAAAATATTTCCTATAAATACTTAACATTTTAATTTTTCCTATACGTCCTTATCTTCGATTTTCTCATCTTAACCAATCTATATACTCTAGTATGTTCTCTAATCATGGAATCATCTTCAATATTCCTTACCACTATATATTAATGTGTATATTAATCAATCCATGTGTACACATTCCCAAATATCTATTTAATATTGTTCATTATTCATGGAATCATCTTCCACTAATTTGTAATTTTAACCCACTATTCCCTCATTTAGAGCACTTTTTCTATGTACAAGTGCTATGTTCATTTTTATTTTTCAAATGTTGCCTTCCACTTTCAAATTCAATAAAAATTTATGCTAGCATTATAGTATTGTACTTGTGTTTTGATATTTGTAATACTTATACCTTGGAAATAAACAATAGCCAGGGAAAAATCATCATACAGGCCCTCGAACTTACATAAAAAGGTCAAATAAACTCTTATATAGGATGGGCTCTATCCGGCCGTCACCATTTGGGG